ATCATATAAGTAAGACTATGCGTGGGGTCGTGTGGCGCAGCGCTTTCGGCTCAGGACCTAGAGGTCCTGGGTTCGATCCCCACCCATGTCACCGATCTTGTGCCCTTGGGAAAGGCACTTTACACGACTTTCCTCACTTCACTCAGGTGTAAATGAGTACCTAGCCTCGGTTAGGGACGTCCCTCGGATAGGACGTTAAATGGAGGTCCCGTGTTTTGGGGAGAGCCACACCCCACGGACGTTAAAGAACCCACCACACCTTTGGAAAAAGAGTAAGGGCATGGTACAAAACTAAAACTGTCTGGGAGTTGGTGATGATTTACTAGTACTACAAATCACCCGGATGGAGGCCTGGTGATCATCATCTCGTACTAGCCACAAAAGGCAGCAGAATCTTCAGCTAGTTGAAGGCGGCTACCTAAGGTGCGTAAGATGCGTAAGGTGCATGACTCAGCATCCTTGACAACCTTATTTTGTCACGTTTCGTCACTTATGATGATTATTGTTGGGTTTCAACCAAACATAGTTTGTGAGTGTATGATAATTTCTAGAAATGTCTAGGAAAAAAATGTTATCGGTGTCAAAAGAAGTAGCCTGCATGGTTACCAAATCTATTATAGCTGCCGAGTCCTAGCTTCTACCAGGCTTCGGGGGGAAGCTGGAAGAAAGAGTAGAAATCGGCCAAATAAAGAGATAACATGCCAGGGGAGTTTGTCTGCTGGGAGAGAACAGTTCGGGTGCGGCAAACTGTTCTTTCCCAGCAGACAAACTCTCCTGGCATGTTATCTCTTTATTTGGCCGATTTCTACTCTTTCCATCCGCCTCCCGAAGCCTGGTAGAGGCTAACCGAGTCCTACATCCATTTGCAGAAAGGAGGTAGGACTCGACAGCTATAATAGGTTGGATACCAGGCTACAAAATAAGTTCTTTGCTTCTGGCCCTGCAAGTCTGTTCCATATCAAGTGAGAAATAAACATTCTGTGATTTGTTTTAACAATTGACACGTCAGCAAAAAGTAGTAAGCAACATGCTAAACGTGAATATTCAAAGTGCCAGAATCAGACAATTAACCAACCATATAAACACTATACATAAGGTGCATGATGGCTTTTAAACCTTATTTCGCCATGTTCACCAGGCTTTTCTACGGGAACACGGATCGTAGAATTCGGCAAAAAAAGAGTAAAATGGGCCAAGGGAGTCCGGCCGCGGGGAGGTAGTTTCTTTCCCTCCGAAAGCCAGTCAAACCTACAAGGTGGCCAAACTCCCCTGGCAAATATTCTCCTATAATAGCCAGCGTAGTTAGAGACTAGTTGGGTTTTAACAAAACATAGTTTGTGAGTATATGACAATTTTTAGAAATGTCTAGAAAAAAATGTTATCAGACAATTTACCAACCATATAAGTATGATTATACATAAGGTGCCTGAGGGCTTTTAAACCTTATTACCATATATGATAATTTCTAGAAATATATAGAAAAAATGTTATCGGTGTCGAAAGAAGTTCTGTTCTTCTCTAACTATAAGTCTGTACCATGACAAGTGAGAACTAGACATTTTCTGATTTGTTTCAACAAAAATTGACACGTCAGAAAAACGCACCCGATCAGGTAGTAAACAGCCTGCTAAACATGAATATTCAAAAAGCCCGAACCAGACAATTAACCAACCACGTGTTGATATGTACGACTAAACATGAGGTGTTTGAGGGATTTTAAAGCTTTTTATTTCTGTTCATTAAATATAATGTACGGCTTTAACCATATATCTTTTTCTTCTTTCGTACTGCTTAGGCCACACCGACTTAATTTTATGGATGACATGCTCTGAAAACTCCCAAACTAGTGCGCGCGGGCGAATAAAAAAATTCCGGCCAAAAATAAAAATGCTACTAAACCACAAGAATATGAAGCTGGTATTGTGAATTTGCTTCAGTACATAGCGACGTACACGACAAGCCGGCACATGCTGGCTTGAATCGGCACTGTACATATGTACTGAGTTCTTGAGTCGTGGAGCTTCGGTAGCCTGGGTGCCCGGCTCCGTATTGTCGCTAACCACCATGGACTACCCAGGTCTAGATCCAGACCAGAGCCTCGGTGAACGTGATTTTTTTTCGAGAACAGGCGAAAATCAATGCGCGCGTGGATGTCATCCATAAAATTAAGTCGGTGTGGCCTTAGTCCAATATAATAGCAGCTTACCACCAGGAGGCCCATATTTGACGCTGACTTTTGTCTTTCTACCTCCATGGTCTTCCTAAGACCTACCAACAAAATATCATCACAATCCACAAAGGCGTTCTAAAGTTATGCTGGCTACAAATGTGCGGAAACACACACACACACAGACAAATAGATAAACAGACAGACTCGCCAAAAACAATACCTCCATTTTTCATGGGGTGAAAAAGAAATGAAGGTGTTACATTAAAGGGCACTATACGGAACATAACTTCTAATTCTGTGGGTGAATTTAGTGCATTAGTAATATATACATATATACAAGACGTGTAGGGGCGACTCAATACAGCAGTGTCCTCGCCAGTCCAGTGTTGAACTGGGTGAGAGTCCCCGCCTCTTCCACACCAAGCCCAAGTTCGTTCCACTCTTTGATGGTACGAGGGAAGAACGACAGCCTGTAGTAGTTGGATTTATTTGCGATGGTCTGCAGATTTATCTGCCGCCATATCTGATAGCCAGCTGGTGGTCAGTCTGTCCTCTAGTCTCATTTTTACCTCCATGAAAAATGGAGGTATTGTTTTTGGCGGCGTCTGTCTGTATGTCTGTCTGTGTGTCTGTGTGTGTGTCTGTCTGTCTGTGTGTGTTTCCGCAACTTTGTGGTCAGCATAACTTCAGAACGTCTTTATGGATTGCGATGATATTTGGTGTGCTGGTAAGTCTTGGAAAGACAAAGGTCAAGGTCAAATATGGGCCTCCTGGTGGATGACCTTGGTACTGCAGCAGAACTTCCGGTTTTTGTATCTTTTGTCCTGAACAAGCTATGGTCTTGACTTTTTGGTGATAGATAGCTTATCCTGTCAGCAATAAGTGGCGTAAGTTTGGTCCCCCTAGCAGCTTGTTCTGGAACTGCAGGGGACTTTCTGGCGAAACCTTTAAAAGCCAATAAGTCCATATAGGAACAACGTATTTTCATGATATTTGATGTGTAGGTAGCTGAGAGAGAGTTGTACATAATCATATGCATATTATGCAAATGAGCACTTAATTTGCATAATTAAGGAGGAAAGTCTATAATTACAGTGTTTTACATTATAGAACTTCCATACATGTAATGTATGTAACCTATGGCAGATGGAACATCAACAGATACTAATTATGCAAATGATGACCTAATTTGCATAATTAATGCAAAAAATCTATGATTTCTCAATGGTGAATGAAGGGAATGTCATACTTGGGACATCTTTAAGTTAATCAAAAGTTAACATCACGATGCATATATTATGTTAATGCAGAAGTCATTTGCGTAATTACAGAAGAAATTTACATTTACATATCAAGCCCATATTTCATGGAGGTATGAGATCTCGGAACTCTTGTTTTACTTTGTATATTATTGTGTTAGTATTTCATATATGTTTGTAATTGTTAGTTTTAATGTTGAAATTGTAATTGTTATCTTTAAGTATTTCATGTATAATGATATGGATTTTATTGATTAAGTTAGCAATTTTAATGTGTTATGCCAGATATGTTAAAATATCAAAATTGTACAGCAAGACACAATTTAGCCGATGGCTACAGGGTTTTGTTTTTACAAATAAACCATTTGATTGATTGATTGATTGATTGATTGATTGATTGATTGATTGATTGATTGATTGATTGATTGCTTAGGGAGTAAGTTGCTTTTTAGGGGTGTTTGTCTGGGTGTCAATCAATCATCCTTCAATCAAAAATGGTTTATTGCTAAAAATCACGAACATTGCAGCAGAAAGCTGAATTGCGTTCAAAGATGTACAATCATTTTAAAAACGTTAACAACTACACAATCTCGGAGTCAAATTGTCGTAGTAGAATTGCACATTGAAAAATATCTACACGATATGACGTACATTTAGCTTAGTGAAATTCAAATTTTGCTCATCTCATTCACATTTATACTTAACATATAAAAATTACATTAAACTATTTCATAAAAAAATTGCACAAGATATATCAGAGACATTTAGTAATTTACAGAGTTAAGAGCAAAATCATTTCGTTTCGTTCAAGAGTCTTAAGAGGGACGGTAGAGGGCTGTTGTTACATCTTGTTGTACGTGTGACCGGGAGAGTCCGTTTTGTAGAGTTTCTGAGTTCACGTCAGGTCGACTGTCCCCCGGTGTCAAGCCAAATATATGATCCTGCCAAATACATGACTCCGACACTACCGGGGGTTTCCAATATACCTGAGACAAGGGGTGGGACTGAGGGGTTTAGTCGTGATGTGGGAGACTAAACCTAACCTAACCCCAATCGTAAGTCTAACCCTGGCCCTGAACAATGATCCTTACTCTAACCCTTACCCTATCCCTAACCCTAACTCTAATACCAACACTAACCCTAACCCTAGCCCTAAACACCTGACCTCTCACGTATCTGGCAGCTCAAGGATTTGGCTCAACACCGGTTGGAGGTAGCAGGTCAGCGGTTCTCTCTGACGTCTTGTGTGTTTCTGATCAACTTGAAGAAGAAATGTGAAGTCTGCCATCACTGATTGATTTACTTAATTTTTGCTACTTATTTATCTATTTGAAATTGCAACATGGTAATACAATGTTGCCGCCAGGAAGCTGATAGCTGATATTGCGACATCATACACAAATATACACAATAGACACATACATAAGTACATTATCGATCAAGTTACAATAAAACATTAGATGTAAGAAATACTAGGGTAACTAGAATTAAATCAATAAACATTAGGGCTAAACATATCTTTTAAAAAGAAACAGTTTTTGCTACTTGTTCTGTGCAGACTACAGGACGACATGGGAAGGAAGCTGCGACACCTGCTGATTTTCCTGCTCCTCATTCTGAAGGAGCCCAACACGCCAGAAGGTGGCTGTGACTGTGGACAATTATCACACTGCAGATGCCCAAACAGTGATTGTGGACAACAAGGTAGAGATATCTGTGCATCGCCAGGTGTTGGAAACTTCGTACGCAAGGGCCTAACCAAGATCCCTCAGAACCTGCCACCATACATCAACGAGTTAAATCTAAAACTTAACCAGATAAATAGTGTTCGGTCTGGCGCATTCTCAACTCTTCCCACTCTCAGTCTCACCCATTTATGCCTCGACTCCAACAACATAACCAGCATTCAGGCTAATGCATTCTCACGTCTAACAAAGCTAAAAGGTTTGGACCTGAGCAATAACCGTATAAACAGCATTCAGGTATCAAATTTACCCCAACTCTCTCTTTTGCATCTTGCCTCCAACCAAATTACCAGCATTCAGGTTGGCGCGTTCTCAAACCTACCCAAGCTTCACTTGCTCAAACTTACCTCCAACCAAATATCGAGCATTCAGGTTGGCGCACTTTCAAATTTACCACAGCTTCAGTACTTGATTCTCAACTCAAACCAAATAACCAGCATCCAGATTAGCGTATTCTCAGGTCTACCCAAACTCATGGAGTTGAATCTTGCCTCCAACCAAATGACCAGCATCCAGGTTGGTACTTTCCCAAATCTAACAAAGCTCAAAAATTTGTTCCTGAACTCCAACAAAATAACTAGCCTACAGGCTGGGGCATTTTTACATCTACCCAAGCTCTACAAATTGAACCTTAACTCCAACAACATAACCAGCATTCGGGTTGGCACATTCGGAAATCTACCCTTTCTCCACCATTTGTATCTTGCCTCCAACCAAATATCAAGCATTCAAGTTGGCACATTTTCAAATCTGACCAGGCTCCATAGACTGCAACTTGACTGCAACAACATTACCAGCATTCAGGCTGGTTTGTTTTCAAAACAACCCTATCTCGGCTGGTTGGAACTTAGAAATGCCGAAATATCGAGCATTCAGGCTGGTACCTTCTCAAATCTACCAAGACTCAAATTATTGTACCTGGACTCCAACAACATAACACGCATTCAAGTTGGCGCATTCTCAAATGTACCAAAGCTCAGCAGATTGTACCTACAGTCCAACAAGATAACCAACATTCAGGTTGACACATTCTCAGACCTACCCGCGCTCGAAAGGTTGGACCTTTCCTTCAACAAAATATCAAGTATTCCCGTTCATACTTTCTCAAATCTACTCAAGATCAAACAATTGAATCTTGCTTCAAACCAAATATCCAGCATTCAGGTTGGAACGTTCTCAAATCTTCCCTGGCTCACGTCGTTAAACCTTTCCTCTAACCAAATATCCAGAATTCATGTTGACACATTCTCGAACCTACCTTGCTTCTTCTGGCTGAACCTTGCCTACAACCAAATATCCAGAATTCCGGTTGGTGTATTCTCAAATCTACCAATGTTAAGAAGATTATACCTGAATTTCAACTACATAACCAGCATTGAAGTTCGCACATTCTCAAAATTACCCAGGCTCGATACATTGGACCTTACCTCCAATAAGATATCAAGCATTCAGATTAATACTTTCTCAAATCTACCAAGGATCGGTTGCTTGAATCTTACCTCCAACCAAATATCCAGCATTCAGGTTGGCACATTCTCAAAAGTACCTAGCCTCTACTGGTTGAGCCTTGCCTCCAACCAAATATCCAGAATTCATGCTGGGGCATTCTCAAACCTACCAAGGCTCAGAGAATTGTACCTGAACTCCAACTACATAGCCAGCATTGAAGTTGGCACATTCGTAAACTTACCAAAGCTCGAGATATTGGACCTTTCCTCGAACAAGATATCAAGCATTCAAGTTCATACTTTCTCAAATCAAAAGATCGGTTGCTTGAATCTTGCTTTCAACGAAATATCCAACATTGAGGTTGGTACATTCTCTACTCTACCCCGGCTCTCCTCGTTGAACCTTACCTCCAACCAAATATCCATCATTCGGGTTGGCACGTTCTCCAATCTTCCTTGCCTCAAAGATTTGTATCTGAACTCAAACAAGCTAAGGAACATCCAGTCTGGTACGTTTTCAAATCTAACCCTTCTCCATACTTTGTACCTGCAGTCAAACAAATTATCTGTCATTCCCCTATCAGACAATGACACGTTGGCATCCATTCCTGCCTTACATATTGGCAACAACCCCTGGCAGTGTGACTGCCCCTTTTGGCAAAAACTGATTGAAACTCCTACAGTTCTAAACCAGATAACATGTGCCCAACCTGCCAACCTCTCAGGACAAAAACTTAAAGATGTCAGTCCCAACGATCTGATCTGTAAGGACCCAACAAAATCCACACCGGACCCAACAAAATCCACACCGGACCCAACAAAATCCACACCGGACCCAACAAAATCCACACCGGACCCAACAAAATCCACACCGGACCCAACAAAATCCACACCAACTGTTGATGTCCAAAACCCAATTAGCTCTTCTGCAGCATATCGTGAAGGCTCCCCAATTCTCACGTTGCCTGCTGAATCCCAAAACGCAAATAATTCTTACAATGGGACCACCACCTCTCACTATCACTGGTACTTCACACGCAATGTTGCCTCAACAGTTGGTACTCACTGGAAAGGATTAACAACTTCAACTGTTGTTGTCACTAGTTGCACTGGTACATCCCATGAATCTGGTCGTAGTTTCCCCCTAGTGCCGGTTGTTATTTCAGCTGTTGTTGGTTCAGTGGTTGGTCTCATTGTTGTCCTAAGCTTCACAATATGGTGCAAAAGGAGGGGGAACAATTCTGATTCAGGTTCGAACTCCAACCCTGTTTTACACAACACAAACACCACAGCTGTTGTAGAGACTAGTGGTCTTGATCACCAGTATGAAAATGGTGACCAACATAACCAGACAAGGCAGGGTCAGTCTCAGTACATACCTACACCCAACACAAACACCACAGCTGTTGTAGAGACTAGTGGTCTTGATCACCAGTATGAAGATGTGGACCGACATATTCAGACGGGGCAGGGGCAGTATCAGTACATACCTACACCCAACACAAACACCACAGCTGTTGTAGAGGCTAGTGTTCATTGTCACAAGTATGAAGATATGAACCAACATAATCAGACAAGGCAGGGCCAGTTTCAGACCATACCTACACCCAACGCAAACACAACAGATGCTGTAATGGCCAGCGGTCACCAGTATGTAAATAGTGGCCAACATGATCAGACAGGGCAAGGTCAGGCTCAGACTATCACTGAATCATCCACAACAGCTGATGTGATAGTCAGTGCTCATGGTCAGACGGGGCATCAGGCTATCACCGAATCCTTGGACACTAAGAGTCCAATATATACCACAGGACAGACTGCCTCAAACTCACCCACTGAATCCATGCACACTAAAAGTCCATTTTATAACACAGGACCGAATGTCTCATTCTCAAAACTGTATTCTCATTCGGAAGTTGTGGGCCAGAATCAGGGTCACTTTAACTCCAACACAACAGCCACTGTGATGGCCAGTGGTACTGATCAGACAGGGCAGGGTCAGTCTCAGACCATCACTGAATCCAACACAAACACCACAGCTACTGTAATGACCAGTGGTCATGATCAGACAGGACAGGGGCAATTTAAGGCTAACAGTCAGTCTCATGGCCAAATAATAGCTGCCTTAAATCCAAACCCGATGTATGTATATTCAAAGTGGCCTGTGGTCATGATCGGGCAGGGCAGGGTCAGTCCCAGGCCATCACTGAATCCAACACAAACACCACAGCTACTGTGATGACCAGTGGTCATGATCAGACAGGGCAGGGCCAGAATCAGGTCAACACGAACACTTTAGTCCATCACTGAATCTCCGTATATTAGAAATATCCCACGTGAGGCATGGATAGCTGCTCTGCAGCCAAACCCTACGTATGGAGGTGTGAAAACACCAGAAAAGAACGCAACATCTACAGAATAGCCGGTGGTCATGATCAGACAAGATAGGGCAAGTCTGGTGCTATCACAGCAACCTTGAATGCCAGAAATCCATAGTGTGTGATGCATTAATAGCTGCCCTACAACCAATTGTCCCAACATCTACAGAATAGCCGGTGGTCACGATCAGACTATCATAGGCTATCACAGAATCCTTGAATGTCAGAAATCCATTGTGTGATGCATTAATCATCAGTAAAGATCACAGAACAAGCATCTTTGAAAAGACTGCTCTGAAGAACTTAATTACCTTATCAGTGTGTAATTTGACCTCTAACCTCCAAATGGAAAGCCGACCTGGACTGTTTAAATCGACACGAGTTATGGATAACGATTCTGATTTGTTTATATCGGTCTGTGTTTGTATCTGTATCTTTGATTTTATTGTATTTTTGTACTGGGACCTATTGAAAATCAATTTGTCAAAATTGAACTAGGCCACCCAAGATTAAATAAATAAATTAAAAAAATAGCTGCCCTACAACCAATGCATTGTCCCAACATCTACAGTCATAGCCGGTGGTCATCAGACCACTGGCACTGGCACTGGCATTCAATCCTTGAATGTCAGAATTCTATCAACTACCACAGGGCCACCTTCTGCGCATGCTTACCTGTTTAAAGATACGGGTTCCACCACTACCAATCCACCAAGCCCAACCCCCAAAGCTTATATTATTTTATTATATTCCGTTGTTATATTTTGTATGTTTTAATTGGACTCCAGGAAGAATAGTGAAAATGTATTCACTAATTTGGCTCTTGGACCATACAAGCAGACAGAGTTGTATTTAAAATGACCCCCCCCCCTCCAATTTGTAAGGGCGGCTTTGCATGCCAGTTTTCCATATGACATAGACAACCTATTTTAGTTTCTAGCATTTCGCAGGGAAAGGTGGTTTATTCCCGTAATTTTTTGTTTATTTGCAGCTTGCACTAAAAAAACAACAATATGTGATAAATCATAATTAAGTATTAAGTAATAAATATGCCAAAAAACAGTTACTCAAGCAACTGGATATAATTTTGAATGATCAGATGATTATATTATATCCAGTTGCTTGAGTAACTGTTTTTTGGCATATCGTATTACCTGGATGTCTAACCTTCATCGACGTATTAAGTAATAAAGTATTGGCACCAAATTTGTATTGGTTGTGGGGTTAGGCAGGGAGACGTTTCAATAACATATTTTAGGAAATTAGCAATCTAATGCTTTCTTCGTTTGCACTTATTCGCACATAAATGTATAAACAGAATACGTAAAGAGAATTGTGATAAAAGGAATTGTAATAAAATGAGAAAACAATGTGCAGGAGGAGGTAAGAAGCCTACAAGGCTTATACAGAACCCTCCTCCTTTATCTTTGCTCAACAAGTCATAATCATGAACCTCATATAATAAATGAAAATGTAAAAACATAGCCAAAAACTAATTAATAATAATACCTTGGTAAGTACTACGTTCTGAAGCTTGCATTCTGAACTTAAACTTGTAACATGTTTAAACTAGTGTTTAGCAGAAATGTTCTTTGAAAATGTAACGTGATTTTACTTCTCATTACTCTTGCAATTTTTCTTGATGGCAAGACATATTTGTTGAATTGAATCAAATGAAATGGGATGTACATTTTGAGGATGGATACAATCTTGGACCTTTGTATAACGAGAAGCGAGATATACGTCATGCCCGTAGCCAGGGGGGTGGGGGTGGGGGGGGTTCAAAGGTCCACTTTTTGGTCCACTTTTTATCTAAAGGTCCAAGATTTTTCTTTAGATGGATTAATTCGTATTATCAGCGGGGCTGTAATCCTATAAGCCTACTTTGTCCTTGAATAAAAATTTATCTCTGATTATTTCTTTGAAATCCTCTCAAAAACGCAGGAAATGCCGTTTCAGAAGATTTATTTTTCAAACTTTTATCTCTGATTTTTTCTTTGAAAGCCTCTCAAAAACGCAGGAAATGCCATTTCAGAAGGTTTATTTTTCAAACTTTTATCTCTGACTTTTTTTCTTTGAAATCCTCTCAAAAACGCAGGAAATGCCATTTCAGAAGGTTTATTTTTCACAATTTTCAGGGGGAGCATGCCCCCGGACCCCCTCGGCGCTCACTGGTCCCTCGCGCACTGGGAAGACCCCCCCCCCTCCTTCAAAATCCTGTCTACGGGCATGTACATGTATGTTGATGTTGGATATTTCTCCAGAGATGTTTTTGTTTACAATTTTTGAGACACCTTAAAGGCATCTAATACACTTTAGGGCGGCAAGACTCAATTTTCAAAGTCAATTTTATGGTCATTCTTTTATTGGCCACAGTAAGTAATTTTTATGGATGACATCAGCGCGCGCATTAATTTTCGCCTAATTTTGGGAAAAAAACAAATTTTGTTGCCTTCTGAAAGTGGTCAACATGCCGCAAATGGGCAAAGATATTGGAAAAATGCGCAAATGGTATTGGATACCTTTAAGGCAGCGCACGTGCACATGTTTAACATGACTTTATAGTATGCCGATTGTGAAGCTTGGTTCTAGTCAATGAAATACACAAATCGTAATGAACAACACAATAAGTACTTGTGCAATTCCTTCTTCTGTTATGAAGTTGTTACTGGTGCTTAGTCTACTCTCCAAGCAGAGGTTTGGGCTTGGGTTCATTTTTGGCGTGTTTTTAGGCTTTTTTTATCTAATCTCCAAGCAGATCCCTCTCGGTGGCAAAAAGACAGTATCAAATTGGCCAAGCAGTATCCATTGGCCAGAGAAGGTCCGCGGCCACCGATGGGTGGTGGGGGTCAGGACAAAACAAAAAGGCCAAATATAAAAAGGTAACGATCATTCCCCACAACCTCTGCTTGGAGAGTATTTTTTATCGCGGGGTTCTCTTTTGCACTGGAATTTTTTTCACCCAACCCAATCTCTGCTTGAAGAGTAGCTTAGTCGACAAATGTCAAAAATACCAACTATGAGACCTCAAGAGACTTGTCTTACTAGTTACCTAATGCACCTTTAAAGTATAGACACTCGAATACATGTCTAAATTGCTCTTATGCGATTCAATGAGCCCTATTTTACACCATTTCGAAAGTGGTGTAACATCTGTGTCCATAATATCACCAGGGTCCATAATATCGCCACCTTGAGAAATAGTGTGCTTAAAGATATTTTTACTGCAACATACCCTAGGTACTGTACGTACATTCTATGTGTGAAGGAGTGCATACCAAACGTATGTTGCAGTAAAAAATATCTTTAAGCACCCCGGTTTCTCAAGGTGGCGATATTATGGACCCTGGTGATATTATGAACACAGAAATTATGTCAAAGCCCAGAAAAACATGCCAAGAACGATGTTACGTCGTTTCGGTGATCTTCTTAGTGTGCAAAACGTTTATATAATGAGCAAACTAGAACATAACGTGCCACCTGACGCGAAATGTACTACATGAGTAATCAGGCATACAACTTCACCTTTGACCTTCGTGTCCTTCACCTCTGACCTCACGAGACGAAGGAAGGAAAAGTTGGCCGAGTTCCAGTTTACGTAAAGAGAAAAACCGTCATAAGAAGCAGGTAAGGCTAAGAAATGAACAGAAAAGTATTCTGGTGTCGAGGGGAATAACTTGAGACCATTTCTGTGGAAGAAAGACCGCTGTAAGACGATGTTTGTTTACATTTTCTGGGTTTAGAACATAGTGGGAATCGAAGGGGGAGGGGGGCGCAACCAGACATCCCACCCTTCGCTACATTTTACGTCATGCTGCATCAGGCAAAGTGACCAAGTTAAAACATGTTTCCTACACTCTCAATACTGTCATTGTTTAATCATTGATAATTCGTAACATTTCTATCATTTCTTGTTAGATTGAACATGGCAAAACACGGGTATCCCACCGGAGTTGATCAGAACTGCTGTGATGGGTCTCCCACCGGGGTTTCCCAGGGCGACTGTGACAGCAAAACAATCAGCGTTAAAGACCAAGCAGCAGCACAACAAGTCAACTTGAATAGCGCCCGTAAGAAACCCTACATGTGTGGGGAGTGTGGATTCAGTGCGGCTTGGAGGTCTCACTTATCCCGACATATGAAAACCCATACAGGAGAAAAGCCCTACAAGTGTGAGGAGTGCAGATACAGGGCAAACTGCAAGTCTCACTTATACCGGCACATGAGAACCCATACTGGAGAAAAACCCTACAAGTGTGGGGAGTGTGAGTACACTACAGCTGACAAATCTACCTTGTCCAGACATATAAGAACCCATACAGGAGAAAAACCCTACAAGTGTGACCAGTGTGACTATTCTGCTGCACACAGAGGTAACTTGGCAATGCATCGTCGTGCAAAACACACCGGTGAGAAACCCTACATGTGTGGGGAGTGTGGGCATAGGACAGCTTACAAAAATGCCTTATCCCTGCATATGAGAACACATACAGGAGAAAAACCCTACAAGTGTGACCAGTGTGACTTTTCTGCTGCACAAAGAGCTGCCTTGGACTATCATCTAGCAAAACATTCTGGTAAAAAATCCTACATATGTGGGGAGTGTGGATACAGGGCAATTAAACAGTACCACTTATCCCAACATATGAGGACCCATACAGGAGAAAAACCCTACAAGTGTGACCAGTGTGACTATTCTGCTGCACGGAAAAACAATTTGGGCCGTCATCTTTCAAAACACACCGGTGAGAAACCCTACATGTGTGGGGAATGTGGGTACAGGGCAACTCGAAAGCACCACTTATCCAGGCATATGAGAATCCATACAGGAGAAAGACCCTACAAGTGTGACCAGTGTGACTATTCTGCAGCACTGAAAACCAGTCTGCAAGTCCATCGTGTAAAACACACCGGTAAGAAACCTTACAAGTGTGGGCAGTGTGGGTACAGGGCAACTCAAAAGCAACACCTATCCCGACACATGAGAGCCCATACAGGAGAAAAACCCTACAAATGTGACCAGTGTGACTATTCCGCAGCAAATAAGTCCAGCTTGGATGCCCATCTAGTAAAACACACCAGAGAAAAACCCTACAAGTGTGACCAGTGTGACTATTCTGCAGCACAGAAAGCTATCTTCGACCAACATCGAGCAACACACACCGGTAAGAAACCATACATATGCAGGAATTGTGGATACGGGACAGCTAACAGGTCTCACCTATCCCAACATATGAGAATCCATACAGGAGAAAGACCCTACAAGTGTGACCAGTGTGACTATTCTGCAGCACAGAAAGTTACATTGAACAAACATCTCACAACACACACTACTGCGAAACCCTACATGTGTGGGGAGTGTGAGTACAGGACAGCTGTGAGGTATACACTTACGCGACATATGAGAACCCATACAGTGAGATACAAGTGTGACCAGTGTAGCTATTCTGCAGCATCTAAGTTTGCCCTAACTCGACATATGAGAATTCACATGTTTGCAAAAACTTGTAGTACTTGTAACATTTAGTACACATAGTTTCTCAACTATAGTTGTAATAGAATAAAACACATTATCCAAAACATTTAGGGTAAATATCATGAAACAATTGATAGTTTTCGCAACCAAAGGAAGGTTTTTGAAAGAAATGTCATACTCTTGCTTTTGTCCACTGCATTTCTAGTCACTTTGTAGATTATGGCTCAGTAAGAAGAACAATGCATATCCAGCGTATTGCATATCAGCTGTTTTGGACAGTGATGAATTTTGAGCTATCTACAGTAAACCCGATTGTACTTATTGGATAATGTATATATACATAATTATTGTTCCGTTTGTACTTGTATGAATGTACCAACTTAGATTTGTTATTGTTTACTTTGATGAAGTTTTGCATATGTACCCTACAAGCAATTCTATATTTTGACTTATATTAAGGTTAACTCAAGCTAGCATTTGTTTCGATTTACTGTTGTATGTTCTCTAAACTCAATTATATCTTTTGACTAATACCAACTGTGTATTCCGTGTTTGTGTGTATGTGTGTCTGCATGTGTATGTATGTGTGCGTGTGTGTGGTGTGTGTGTGCACATGCATATGTATTTGCCTGTGCATATCTTTGTGTTTTCATGGACATGTGTGTATGTGTGGTGTGTGTGTGTGTGTGTGTGTGTGTGTACATATATGTTTGTATGTGTGGTGTGTGGTTGTGTACATATGTGTGTGTGTGTGTGTGAGCTCACATATGTGTGTGTTTGAGTGTATAGGTGTGTGTGTGTGTGTGAATGTGCATTTGCGTGCCCATATGTGTGCATGTGTGTGTTTATGTGTATGTGTATGTGTGTGCATGCATGTGCGTGCATTTGTGTGTGTGTGCGGACGTGCATATGTATGTGTGTGCGTGCATGCCCGTGTGTGTGTGTGTGTGTGTGTGCGTGCGTGTGCACATGTGTTTGTGTGTGTGTGTATGAGTGCAGTGTGCACATGCATATTTCTGTGTGTGTGTGTACTGTGGGTGAATTTGTGAATAGTGTACTGTGGGTGAATAGGCCCTTTCAGTTCCCAAAAAGCTGCTAGGGGGCCAATTCCTCACGGGCACAAGATGTCGCTACTGTTTGAAATCATGACTAGAACATGTCCATAACACTTGGTTCTTCTGCAGTACCATAGAGCACCGCAAGGGGGCCCATATTACAAATTGACCCTCAAACCTCTTATCAAATAAAACACCATATACATGTAGATTAAACCATAACCTCTTTGGCAAATGTAAAATAGTAAACTAGAAAGGCAATATTTCTAAAGCAAATACATAATGTTTACCATCACCTGGTCTAGCCTAATAAACTACTGCTCTGTTTATTCTCACACATATTCATACATAATACATGGTGACCCCCCCCCCCCTGCTACATATAATGTAATACAACACCACATGGTGTTCGCTACTGTGTTACTGTTAGTTACCATGGTGACAGTCGTCTGGTCCAGGTCACAATGGGCTTTGTTTGTTCGGAAAAGAACAAGAAGAAACAGAGCAAAATCATCCTTCTGCGAAGGTTAACATTATGTTGATGTGAGTTACGTATATTACAGTACGGACAGAATGCATAACGTGTTGGTTGAAGTAAAATCTGAAGCCTTACCTGCTTTCTATGGCGGTTATTCTTTTCACGTAAACCGGAACTCGGGCAGCTTTGTCCTGTCATCTCGTGAGGTCACAGGTGAACACACTACAGGTCAAAGTTGACATTGTACCAACTCAGGCCACAGCAAGTAAGTTTTATGGATGACATCAGCGCGCGCGCATTAATTTCGCTTGATTTTGGGGAAAAAAACGACATTCTGTTTGCCTACTGACAGTGGTCACCATGCCAAAAATGGGCAAAGATGTCTGTTGCCATGCCGGAAGTTGGATGGCAGACAACTATGAAGAGAGGAGACAAGAAAAAGCTCTGATTTAATGTTTTGTTTCTTACTTTGAGCATTCTTTATGTTGTCAACTAGTAAAAAAACACAATTCAGCCTATGTAAGGCTGCCAGTGTTTTAATTCTCAATAAACTAAACAAATAATGTCAACGTTCTTCGTTTCTAACCACCACCTTAACAACGTAACCCGCGCCTGACTTTTGTTTCTGTTAATTACTGTACATGTACATTATCCCATCAATACCACCAAGTTTACTGTTTTTTCTAAACAATTCCACATAGCTAAAATATCTTTTTTGTCAAAAGAACTGAAACTAGACCTAAATATATGAGCGAAAAACTAAACTAAAACATTAGAATTATTTTTGTACCTACTGTACATTATAGTTGTACATTAATTAGAAATAAAGTGGACAAAAGTATAATCTTCAAGCAGATCTTTTGGTGGGGGTAAGACAGTATCAAATTGGCCAGTCTGTAACCATTTCCCCACCCAAGTTGGTGATGGTAGAGACAAAAAAAGGCCATATATAAAAAGGAAATGATCTTCCATCAAACCTCTGCTTGGAGAGTAACAAAAGTACAGGACTATGGCATTTCGTTAGGAAAAAAAAACTTTGCCTATTTGTAACTACATTTATTATCTTTTACAGAATATTATGACTAAATGTTTTAAATATTAGTGTGATATATCCTTAAGGTTGGTTTCAGTGTAGCAAACTGTAAGTACTGTTGTTACCATGTGTAAATGTTATTATGTGGCAGTTGTATGTTTTACTGTTTTATGGACCACTGGAAGAATAGCGAACTAAAGGCAAGCTAAATGTGGATCGGAATAAAGTCAAAGTCAAAATTATCCTAGTCACCTATAGTCACCTTGAATTACCTATTTCACCAAATCCGAATGTACAATATTGCCATCATTCTTAAAATTTGTAATATCACCATTTAATTTTGTTATGGGAAATGAGCTTACTTACTGTTATGTTTCATATGTTGTTTACTTACCCTTATCATTATTGTTATTGTCACTATTACTATTATGCTTTTAATTGTTTGGGAGAAGGACAAGAATAAGCCATAAGGGTTCTTCCTCCTCCAGCGCATTCATTCTGTTTAAGTTAATTATTCTATATTCTTTTTAGACTGATCATTATATTTACTTTCTGTATTGTTTTGTATTTTATACGCATGTGCAAATAAAAATAAATAAATAAGTAAATAATAAACAAAACTACCAAAGAAAGATTTTGCAAACTAAAGGACGCTACAGTTGCTGAGTTGGACTCTCCTTGTGGATTTTCATATAATGTTGAGTGAGGGCACCCTTTGTTGCTGCAGAAAAGCTACACTGGTCACACTTGTAGGGTTTTTCCTCTGTATGGGCTGTCATATGCCGGAATAAGTTGGACCTGTCAGCTGTCCTGTACCCACACTCCCCACACATGTAGGGTTTCTCACCCGTATGTTTTGCTAGATGTCTGACCAAAGAAGATTTCTGTGATGCAGAAAAGTCACACTGGTCACACTTGTAGGGTTTTTCTCCAGTATGTGTTCTTATATGTTTAGATAAGACAGACTTTTGAGCTGTCCTGAACCCACACTCCCCACACATGTATGGCTTTTCTCCTGTATGGGTTCTCATGTGTTGGGATAAGGTAGACTTTAGAGTTGCTCTGTAGCCACATTCCTCACACATGTAGGGTTTCTCACCAGTGTGCATTGCTAGATGTTTGTCCAAACTGGATTTATGTGCTGCAGAATAGCTACACTGGTCACATTTGTAGGGTTTTTGTCCTGTATGGATTCTCATATGTTCGGACAAGTTAGG